GGGAGGGAGAGAGAGAGAGAGAGAGAGAGAGAGAGAGAGAGAGAGACTTTCTAGGAGTCTGCAAGATGTCCAGACATATCCAGCAGATACAATATTTTGCCGTTACTAGTTGAATGAAGGCATTATTTCGGTTTAAGGCAGTGTACCAAACTGATCTGTTTTTCTTACTCATTTTCTAGGGGCTAGAGTTTTTTTCCCCTGATGGTGTTGTTCTGAATGACTTGCTGTGTGGCAACAGAAAGTGTTGTCCAATTGCCCATCATTGTAGCCCTCAACAGCTTTCTTGGCTTCTTATACCTCTTGATTCCATGGTGCGGAAGATGATACGGTTGGAGGGTAAGGATGGAAATTAGGGGAAGGGGAAATGGGTTTCCTTCCAATTCTTCCACTGAAACCATAAGCGGTCAGGGGGGCTGCACACCAGAGAGAAGATTTGAGGGTCCTTGGTGCTCTCTAAGCTTGCTTGTTTTCTTGCAGATGTTCCATTACTCAAACTAGGTAACACCATTAGGAGTGATGATGTTACCTGACTGGGTCATGAAACATCTGCAAGAAAAAAAAGCAAACTCAGAGCACTAAAGATCCCACATTTCAACCCTGAGCTACAAATATTCCCCTTTATTGCGAGAGAAGATTAAACATTGAATAATGGGATATTTGATCCTCATGTCCTCCCATGCTTGTGATGAAATGAGCACAAAAATACAACATGCCAACCATGAAAGTTTCACTGCAAATCTTTTTTGGTGGGGGCAGCATTAAGGGGATGAAGGCACTTTCTTTCCCCATCAAAATATGTGAAAATATTAAAGGAGGCAAAAATGAAAATTTCAGCAAAGGGGTTGTTTTGTTGCTGCTGGAAATACTTACCATGAAGAACAGTGAGTATAACTAACTCCTACTAAATAAAAGTATAAATATGACCAATGTCCTTGATACTGTAGTAATTGTTAATTGCAATCAAGAACCTTGGTTGGGTTTTAGTGGCAGAATATAATTTTGCAGATAATTGTTTGGGCAAGTTATTCACGGGCAATTATACAAAGACCAGGGTTCCTCTGCAGTTAGAGAATTTGTAACTTGGAAGATGTGTACATGCTCATCCAGGTGGTCCATGCTTAATGACCAAAACTGGGACTGACAATTTGGTCATTAAGCAGAATAGTTGAAATCGTGACTGTGCTTATGGACTTGCTTTAACTTTCCTTGGTTTTAAACACCTGTCAAGGTCATAAATGCAAGAACTAATCAAAGATACTTTTTCATCTCCATCCTACCTGCAAACGGTTGCTAAAGGCAGTTGCTAAACAAAAATTGCCTGCATTGGACATGCTTACATAAGCTCCCCACATATGCAAGGTTTGTGTCTATACATAGATTGAATTCGTTGACTTATATAGGTACCCATGAACATTTAGAGAAATACGCTCTTATTACCTTGCAATAATCATTCCTCCTTTCTAAATTGGCCATGGAAATTAAACTTACCCGGACTCAAAGGGGGAATTCCCAAACATTCCGATCAGGCTAGGTTTTGAGCACATGGCACTACTTGCTTGCATTGCCTGTCAAGCACCAGGGAAATCAGGAGATTCAGGCACTTCAAATGAGGATAAAGATTTATTGCAAGCTTAAGCCATGTACAAGAATCTGAACTACTAATGGACACGGGAAATCAGCGAGAGTTAAGAACAGAAAGGAATTCAAGGTGATCTGGACTTAGATCTCTTGTGGGCACTCAGGGACTCTTGACTGATAATGCATTTGACCCCTCCCTCAGGCTCAGCCTGATCATCTCCGATATTACCTTCCATCATACAGTTGAACAAAGCCAACAAATTTGGAAATTAAATTATTAAGTGAAATTAAGATGCTTTTTCTTGGTTAATATTTAGATTGCTTAACTTTTTTATTTGCCCAAGGAGATTTTATCGGAAAGGTGAGCTATTAGTCTTACAAACACCACATTTACCTAAAATGTGAACAGTTTTTGGCTCACCTCTTTTTTACAGTTCCTAAATGCCCATGTAGGCTCCTTGCCAAACAGTTGTAAGTTTTTATTAATAAATACAGTTGTTGTGCCATAAAACCCGATGTTGCATTGCGCGATACCTTTTTATGATTATTGAACCATAGACGTTCTTCACCAAAGTGATTTATGCTGGCAAAAAGAGTCTTAACGACTATTCACAAGGAGGGCATTTAAAACAAAGCAGAACTTGGAAAGTAGTCCAGAGAAAGCATCTATCAGGGGATTTGATTGCCATCAGTGTTTAACTATAAAATCTGCCCAACTTAAACATTTATGGAAATGTTGGCTGCCTAAGCACTCCCTAAAATTTAAAACTTTGATTCTCTGCTCGGCTTTATCGCCCATCAAGGAGCGACGTTCAAACTGTTTTAGAAAAGAAGCACCTTCTGAGCCGGGTTCGTTTCAATAAACCCTACAAATTGAAAGTATTCCAAAAGGCACTTTATGAGTCCTGATCTTATCTGAGTTTCACCTGCAGAGGATAAATATAATCTCTCCCTCCTGCCCTATATTTTCTTTGGCTTTAATGTACGGGGCTGAAAATGTCCAACACCAAATCTAGTCTGAGTGGAGAACTGGAACTCCTGCCAGTTTGAGTGAAGGACACATCGAGGGTTGGGGAACACAGCTTTGTTTGTTTTGGCAGCCTCGTAGGGTAGAAACGGTTTCCATTCCATCCGAAAGCAGTCAAATGCTATTGAAATATTGCACAATAAAAGTCATTCATTATAACTGTCTTCTTGGCTTTCTGAAAAAAAGAAAACAAAACAGAAAAAGGCTGACCAGTTTCAAATCCGTGCAGGGGGCAGGAAGTGAGGAGGCAAGAGGTCAGTGGAAATAGACCAACACTGAGAATTTTTCCCCCTTCTGGGTCTCGGTTTAGGGAATATGTTTCATATTTTTATTTCCATCACATACTAGATTTCCCTTGAGTTCTCCAAAGACTAGCTCAAGTAGTTAATTGCTCTGTTATGCACAATTTACAAGGTTTAATTACAAAACTAATACATTAACCTTCTGGTCTAAGTGTCAAAAGTAAAGTTATGCCTTCCCATAAGCCCTGTGGGGCAGTTATAGCAGTCTTCAGACATCAGTGTGAGTGCGAATTCTGACATTGGAAAAGACAGAGGTCTGTACAGAACACGGAGGGAGAGAAAGAACATTGGAATTATTTAATCATTATGACATTTCTTTCCTGTATTCTCTTGAGGGTATCAAGTAGATACACAAAGGTTTCCAACCCATTTTAGAACCAAGAGTTCTGTTGGGTAGGTTGGATTGAGAGAAAGGGATGGAACTAATGTCACATGTGTTTGGGAGCTGAATGGAGGTTGGTCTTAGGTTGCTGACCTGTTGCTGACCTGTTTAAAAACGACAGGTATAAATTAAGAGAGACTTGAAGTAGCAAATCCTAAAAGGGTGGACTCTGGTTATGCCAAATTGGCTTGCTAAATAACAACATACACAGAGAATGTATATGATGAAAACCTGCTAGCTTTGTTTTCCACTTGACCAGTGTTTTTCTTTGCAGACTTTGAACTATACTGTGTTTCCCCAGAAATAAGATCAGGTCTTATATTAACTTTTGCTCCAAAAGTTGAATTAGGGCTTATTTTCTGGTTAGGTCTTATTTTGGGGGAAATACAGTCTGGCTGACAATCTTAACTGGGACTTATTTTGGGGGTGGAGCTTAAGTTACGAGCATCCTTGAAAAATCATGCTAGGGCTTATTTTCTGGTTGGGTCTTATTTTCGGGGAAATACGGCAGTAGTTGGTTTAAATCTCAGAATTACAAAAGCGACAATTGATTCTGCCCATTCTTCCTTTGAAATCACTTCCTTGGTCTTGGCAGTGCCTCAGCCCACTAATCAGAATGGCAACTATTTCCAAGCTGATAAAAACAAACCAGCTGATTCATTAAAGGTTATATTGTCATTATATCATTAAAAGTCCATACAATGGAATTTCTTTTCTACACATTTTTATAAGAAGTTAATCTGAACACACTTAGATTTAGACAAATAAAGTCTAGCTAATATAATTCGTAAGAGCACCTGAGTTGGCTGGCTATTGATTTTATACTAAAATCATATAATTATCACAATCTGTTCAATTCTGATTGGAGTTACCAAGATGTCCTATTTAGTCTCACATATTTACACAAGAAGAGTTCAAGTGTCTATATGAGAGATCATCTTGGGGGAGCAGAGTTTCATAGTGAAATGTTTCATTTCTCAAAGTCTCAATTTCAACTGCAAAGACAAAGGACAGAATAGAAGGGAAAGTTCTCTCTTAATGCTCTAATGAATTATTCCCAGTCCAAATATTCCATAGCAGATAGTCTACTCTCTATCAAAATCTTTAATTAGAAATGCTAGTAATAAAACCAGAGACTTCTATACATTGCAAGAAAAACTCAATCAACTGTAAGGAAGAAAGCTTGCATGTGCATACAGATAGTCCTCAACTTACAATCACAATTGGAATCAGAATTTCTGTTGCTGAGCAAGGCAGTTAAACGAGTTAAGTCAGATTTCATTTTTTTGTTATGGTTGCTAAACAAATCACTGCACTTGTTAAATGAATTATGTTGTCATTAAGCAAATGCAGCTTTTTCCATTGACTTTGCTTGTCAAAAGCCGGCTAGGAAGGTTACAAATGGCAAACACATGACCTTGAGATGTGGTAATCCCTATAAAATTTTGGCCAAATTTAGATCATGTGACTGAGGATATTGCAAAGGTCTTAAGTGTCAGGACCAGCCATAAGCCACTTTATACAGTGCCACTGTAACTTTCAACAGTCACTAACTAAATGATTTTAAGTAAATGACTATCTGTAACAGATCAAAGAAAGCATTGTCTCAAGAAATAATGCAGCATGACAAAGAATTTTTCTACATCTTTATATAGCTGAGCATCAGCAAACACATCAAGATACTTCTGGCACTATAGAAATGCAAACTGTAATCAGGTTATCTCTGTTTTGAGAAGTACTACATGTCTGTGCACAGGAGACAATTGAGGTTAGAAAAAAAATAGCTCTCAGCCCAGCATATTTATTTTAAAAAAATAGAGAAGTCTTTTGAATAAAGCAAGGCTGTCCAACCACAAATGAATCCCTCTCCCCAAGATCACAGCACTGATCAAAAATACGATTAAAAAAACTTTACTTGTAAAGCCACTGATAGGCTAAACTCATCCATGTAAGATGAGACTAACACGAGGGCAGGTTAATTCAGTTTGATATGGGAACAAAGCTATTTGGTACATTGTACTTTGTCCTAAAAAAGGCTCATGCAGTCAATATATATTGTTTGCACGTCAACATGTTATGTGAATATTTCAACTGTGCATTGTTAGCTGAATTTAGCTTTGTGTCCCTGTGGCTAGTGACTTTTGCTAAGTAATACAATGTAAATTCCCCTGCATTTAAATCTTTCTCTCCCAGTAGAGGAAAAACGAAACTATGCTTGAAACAGTTAATGTTCAAATTTCATGTTGCCCTTCTGGCATTTGTCCAAATTTTCCAAATGGGAGGCAGATGTGTTTGACTCCAAACCCACAACAGGGAGCTGAGAGCCTTCAGATGCACAGAAGCTCCTTCTTCTTCGTCCATAAGGGTTACTCACGGTGTACTTTGATTCTTGAGGACCAACAGAGGACAGTCGCCTTTTGGGGACTTTGCAAGGGATCTCAACCCAGGCAAGGCCCTCACCTTCTGCATCTTTCTGACCCCTCATGCTGCGTCTTACTTTCTTTGTTATATTCCTGTTTTCCTCAAAATGGTTTAAAAGTGCAATGTCATTTGCTGTCCAAGGACAAGATGGCAACCCGTCCAGGTTTCCTCCAGGAACACCAGGGCTGTTTGACTTGGTGCCCTCGGGGTTCAGAAAGTCTTCCGTCGATTTTCTGCTGATTCTTGGGTTCCTTTCAAAGCTCACCCCGTTGCTTTCACTCATTACTTCCGCTGCAAAATCTACAGTGAAAAATGAATTTTCTTTAGCCTTGATATTTTTAGTAGGTCCACAGATGTTCGGTAACTCCACCAGCTGCATTTCTGTCCTACTTGATAGACAGTCCCTTCCTACCACCTGTTCATTTCCATTTAAAGAACTCTTTAGTTTTTCAGGAGAGATTTTTTCGGGCACATATCCAGGAAACCATTGCTTTCCATTGTTTAGAGCAAGTTCTTGAAGCTGCACAGATGAACTCGCTAAGCTATCTTCTTCCTGAGGGCTAGAAGGTTGATCATGGCTGTCCACTCCTACAGCATGAGGTAGATTCGTTTTGTTTTCCACCATGTCATCGATAAACTTAGCATGCAGGTCACTTAAAGAATCATCTAAAACAAAGTTTCAAATGAACAAGTCAGAATGTTATTTCATCTAGTTGTGCTAATCAAGATTTAGCACAAGGTACTCAACCCCATTGTTTTAAACTAAAGAGATTTTGTCTTATAATATCCTCCTCCTAGCTATTTTCACCACTAGCTATGAGAGGTTTAACATGCTATATATATATAGTTTTGTTCTTTTACCAAAGTCAGTTCATTGCAATCGGGCCCTTTTTGAAATAACTTCCTGACTTATGCCTTCCTTGTTTACTTTTTTTCTTTTAAAAATGTTTTATTATCCTAGGCAAGCAGTCCTGGGTCATTCAGTACTTTATATTCATTTACTAGTGAATGTAAAGTATATAGAGGGAATCCTTGACTTATAACCATATGTTTAGCAACCATTCAAAGATATAATGGTACTGAAAAATGCTGCTTACATCAAGTTCTCACACTTATGACTGGGTCCTTACGGTCACGTGATTGTGATTCGGATGCTTGGCAACTGGCATGTATTTATGATAGTTGCAGCAGGATTACACGATCACTATTTGCAACTTTCCCAGACTAGAACGGACAATTGTCACAACCAACACGCTGCAGCCATTACACCATGGGCCAACTCACTGTGGGACAATTTAACAATTCTATTTAATTATTCAAAATAAATAAAAATTAATTTTTGCCATTCACATTTCACTCTGTCCCTCCTTTTGCATCTTTTCTTTAATGATTCTATTCCATCATTTCTTTGATATTAGTAGTGAGTTGGCCGTGGTGAGGTGGACGCAGCGAATTTTCATAGACCTTTCCCAGAGAACTTCCAACAAAAAGGTCAACAGAGTGGAGGGCGGAGCTGGCGTCGCGACGATACGGCATGCGATCTTGAAGGTCTGAGATCGCTGCCGATATCTTTGCTCCTGGACAGTCCAAACAGATCTAAACCATCCCGAAGAGATGGTGAATGTAAAGAACGCATCCTGTCGATCCCAGGGATATCGCAAAGTCCCTGGTTAGATCCAGGAGAAGCTCTTTTTGCCAGCAGCAAAGAGGCAACCATTAAAGCTGCTGAAGTTGGGACAGCTCCGAAACGGAGGAGAACGGAGAGAGAAAGTGTGCCGGTTTGATGAGAATTTTTTCTTTACTTTAAGATTTGAAAGGATACCCTAAGGAAAAGAACGAATCTGTAAAATCTTAGACAGAAGTGATTAAGCGGCGATTTTAAACGGGAAGTCAAATTAATTTTTTCTTTTTTTTGCTGGACTCTTCATATATGATTTTTTACTTTGAACTGGACTAGTCTTTTTTTTTTCTTTTTTGTCTCTTCTCCTTTTTGTCTTTATAATATTTTAGGCTAAAGATTCCCTTTTAGCTTTTTTTTTCTAAATCCCTTTTCCCTCTTTAATTAATGTTTATTATATTTTGTTTGGAAAAGGAGGGGGAAAGTGAAAGCAGAGGAAACTTTGTAACACTGCCAACTAGAGGCTTAGAAATATTGTTTCTTTTTCTCTCTCTCGACCAGACAAAGCTGAGAAAGAATTCAGACTTCTTTTCAAGGACTTTGAGCCTGTCTGATAAGATAGAGGGAACAGCATGGAAGAGTATTATTGCAGGTGCTCTTCTGGGTTTCTATCAGTAGCTGAAGTCTGGTGTTGAAGTATACAGAAAAAAGACGATAAGACTCTAGAGAAGAGAGCTATAAAACTTAACAAAAGTCTTGGATAACTAAATAGGTGCAGTGTGTTCTTTTTCTCTTTTTTAAGCTGGGTTATTCCTCACACCCCCTCCTTATCAGCTTATTATTTGTAATAGTCATTTGGATCTTTGGCCTTTTGGAACTTGCTTTTGTCTTTCTTTTTGCTTTTGGAGCCTAATTTTTACTTTTGCATTTCATTTTAAAGGACAAGTCTTAGTATTAATGGTTTTTTTAAGGGAGTAGTCTTTTTTCTTTTTTCTCTCTCCCTCTCCTGCATTTTTTATTTACTTTAAATATTGGTTTTCTTTTTGTAGCTTCCTTTTTTTTGTATACCTTTTCATACCTGAGACTTTTCAATAGGATTACGGTGTTGAAGAACCTGAAGAATTTCTTTTTTTTCTTCTTTAGTTTTTTACTTTTTATTTTTCTGCCTCCTACAAGATTTAACAATTTTTTCCCTTTTTCTGTTTATGGTTTTTTTTTTCTTTTTTTGAGTTTTTACTGCTATTTAAGTAATCGATTGGATTAAGGTATACAAGAACCTGAAGAATTTTTTTTTAATCTTGCTTCTTTTTTCCACTATTTTTACTTGGAATTACAATTGATTATTTCATGAGTGGATTAAGGTCTAGAAGAACCTGAAGATTTTGAATCATCTGAAATGAGCAGGAAACTAACAGCGGCTGGTTCTTCAATTCCTACTTCTTCCGCTCAATACAGACGATGTTATAACAAGAAAAAGAACAGGAAAAGGTGATGCTGCAGATGATAATGCAAGGAATTCAAAGCATACAAACAAGAACAGAGAATATTGAAAAGAGAATAGAAAAAACTGATGAAAAGGTGGAGAATATTCAACAAATGATGATGAAGTATGATGAGAGATTCCAAAAAATTGAAGAAGAAGATAAACAAAGAGATAAGATTGGAGATATTGATGGCAGATTAACTGTGGTTGAACAAGATAAAAGTGGGATGCTGAGATGGAAGATGGACAGATCAGAATTTTATTTCAGATTCCAAACCTAGAGGAAGAAAAGAGACAAAACTTAGCTGTGATAATGATAGAAATCTTGGCTGAAGCTCTGGAAATAACCAAAGAGAAGATGATGGATGGAATAGATGAGGTTTTTCGAGTCTTCACAAGATATGCAAGGAGAAATAGCCTACCAAGAGAAGTTCACATCAGATTTACAAAGAAAGCCATTAAAACGCAAATATTGCAGGTGGCAAGAGAGAAAACATTGAAATATAAACAACGCGAACCAAGAGGTGAATTACAGATGGTTGATTCCAGAAGGTTTAATGTTCACGTGGCAAGAACAGAGACACAGAATTAATTCAATTGAGAAAGCTGAATTATTTTATACGGAATACTTTGGAGGGAAAGAGGAGGAGACAGAAAAAGAAATGTCACTAATTGAATTCCAAGAGGACTGCCAAATAGTGACTGAAAAAGAAGAAGGTGCAGTAGGTGGAAAGGTGGAAGCTAAAGAACAATGTGAACCAAGATCTACGAGAGCTGCTAAACCTACCTATAAAGTATAACCATGGAAGAGGAAAAATTGATTACAATAAACATAAACGAACTTAATTCAGCTGTTAAAAGAAGGAAAACTTTCCATAAATTAGAGAAATTAAAATTTGATATAATCTGCCTACAAGAAGTACATATTAAAAAGCAACATGAACAACTGTTGATACAGCCAAAGTTAGGGAAAATATTTACTTCTTTGACACAATGCAAAAAAAGAGGAGTGGTTTTATACATTAAAGATATTATCCCAGCAAAATTGATTCATACGGATGACGATGGAAGATTATTAATGGTGGAAATAATGGACAATAATATGAAAACACTCCTGATTGCAATCTATGCCCCGAATGACAATCAAGAAGAATTTTATAGAAAATTACACATGAAAATAATTGAACTGGACTATGCTAATATCGTTATGATGGGAGACTTTAATGGAATTGTAGACAATAAATTGGACTATACAACACAGAAAACAACAAAGCAAAACAGAAAGACTCTCCCTAAATCCTTTTTTAAAATGATAGATGAAATAAATTTAAAGGATGCATGGAGAGAAAGAAATGCTAAGACTAAACAATACACCTTCTATTCAAACAGACATTTATCATGGTCCAGAATAGATATGATATGGATGTCAACAGAATTGTTCGCTAATATCCA